TGGATCAACTTGATGATGGACAGATGGGCCCTGCCAGAGGCTACTCCATAGAATTCATTGCACCCCCATAACATTTTCTGGTCTCCCCACTGCACAAGAATTCAGAAACACTATGCAGAACTCCAACATCTTGTTGCCATTCAGGCCATAGAACATATCCCCCCACTGGGAAATGGGCAAGGTGTTTACTCCATTTTCTTCACAGTGCCAAAAAAGAATGGAGATCGGAGGATGATCCTAGGCTTGAAATATCTCAACAAGTTCATCAAACTGAGATATTTCAGGATGGAAACTCTGGGATCCATCAGAGTAATTGCAGCTGGAGGAGTACATGACATCAATAGATTTAATGGAAGCGAACAGAGGGTCTCACCTACCATTCAGGGCCCTTCCAAAACAAGAAGAGCAGGAAATTAGATGCATTCGGACGACGTTTCTACTTTACGGAATGGTCTCACCTACCATTCAGGGCCCTTCCATTCAGACCCTCCACAACACTGAGGGTCTTCACAAAGATCTTGATCAACCCAGTTGTAAAGTTAAGGGACCAAAGGATTCGCATCCATTCCTATCTTGATGACTTGTTGATCATTCAAGCTCCAGGATCAAGTCACACCAAGACACAGAATCAACTATCTGGTGTCTACAGGATTATGGATTTCTGATCTATCTTCAGAAAAGCTCCCTACATCCTACCCAGAGAACAGAGTATCTGGGTGTCATGTTGGATACAACCAGCAATTGCCTCTTTCTAACCAAAACGAAGGCAAAGAAAATGAAAGTTATGTCACAGTTATCAAGAGCAGGTTTTCATCTCTGCTGATGCCTGCAAAACTATGAGTTTACTAATTTCAAGCATCGACACCATCCAATGGTGTCAAGTACACTCAAGACCGCTTCAGCAACTTTTGAGACCATTCCAGATGCAAATTATGAATTAAGAGGATCTTTCCATCAAGGTCCCCTTCACAGTAAAAGCAAGTCTTGTCTGGTGGACCAGAATGCTGAGTCGTCTTCAGGGAAAGAAATACTGCATCCTAGAGGTGAAGCAGATTTTCATGGATGCCAACCTGTCTGGTTGGAGGGCAACGCTAGAAGGCTCATCAGTTCAGGGTTGGTGGTCCGGAAGTGAGATGAGCTTTCCCATCAACCTTCTGGAATTATAAGAAGAAGAGATTGGATTTATACCCTGCCCTTCACTCGGAGTCTCAGAGTGGCTTACAAACTCCTTTCCCTTCCCCTCCCCACAACAGACACTCTGTGAGGTAGGTGGGGCTGAGAGAGCTCAGAGAACTGTCCTTAAGAGAACAGCTCTGACAGAACTATGGCTTGCCCAAGGTCATCCAGCAGCTGCAAGTGGAGGAGTGGGGAATCAAACCCAGTTCCAGATTAGAGTCCGCGCATTTAACCACTACACCAAATTACGGGCAATATACCTGGTCCTTCTCTTCTTCAGTCCATGGTTAGTTAGTCAACATGTCCTTATCAGTGTTTCCCCAAATTTATCTCAAAAAACAAGGAGGGTCCAAATCTTCATTGCTCCACAAGGAGGCATTCAAAATACTAACATGGGCAGAGAAGAACCTGGCATTGATAAGGGCCAAACCCATAAAGGGATCAAGGAATATCCAGGTGGATGGCTCATCAGGATGACCATCTGGGAGGGGGAACTGGCCCTGAAGAAAAGTCTGTTCCAATTAATCACATCTCATTTTGGTCTTTCCATAGTGGACCTATTCACTTCACCAGACAACCATCAAGTGAACAGGTACTTCACCAGATTTTTTTTCATCCAGTGGCCGAAGTGACTGATGCCCTGATATCTCATCTGCTGAACAGTCTTTTTTTCGCCTATCCGCTCCTTCGGTTCTTCCAAAATTAATCAGGAAGATCAAGAGCATGGTTCTCTGCCCTCTAGGAGATGGCAAAGCAACCACCAGTACCCAGTTTGGTGTAGTGGTTAAGAGCGGCAGACTCTAATCTGGAGAACCAGCTTTGATTCCCCACATGCAGCCAGCTGGGTGACCTTGGGTTGGTCACAGTTCTCTCAGAGCTGTTCTCTCAAGAGCAGTTCTGTCAGGGCTCTCTCAGCCCCACCTACCTCACAGGGTGTCTGTTGTGGGGAGGAGAAGGGAAGGAGATTGTCAGCCACTCTGAGACTCCGAGTGAAGGGCGGGGTATAAATCCAACTCTTCTGCTGCTGCTTCTTCTAAGTCTTCTTTTGCTGCTGAAAGCAATCAACCAGTACTGGAAAGCATTCATAAAGTGGAGTAGAAGAAGGTATCGACCCTATGAAACCGAAGTTTAAATTGATTTTTTCATTTCTACAGGATGGACATGACAGTGGCACTTTGACAATGGTGTTGCCTCTATTTCAGGGTGGTTTGAATCTATCCAGACACATCCATGTTCATCACTTCCTCAGGGGTGCTGCCCTAAATAATCCACCATAGCAACACAGATTTCCAACATGGAAGTTGCATGCTGTGCTTTCAGCCCTTACCAGACACCCATTCGAACCTATTTTTTTTAAATTCCGCTTAGATGGTTAAGGACAAGAACCTTGTTCCTTATAGCAGTCACATCAGCGAGGAGGGTGTCTGAACAAGGCACTTTGTTGATCAAGCCTGAACTGTGTGTCTTCCATAAAGACAAAGTGGTCATGAGGACGGATCCTACCTTCAAGCTGAAGGTGAATTCCAACTTTTATAGGTCACAGGAGAGTTGTCTTCCTTCGTTCTGCCCTAATCCTACCCATCTGAAGGAGACGTTTTGGCACAACTTGGATGTCAGACATACAGTTAGTGCCTTCATCCATAGAACACAGGATTTTAGAAAAACCGATTCCTTGTTAATTGCTCTCTCTCCACGAAATAAAGGAATGAGGATGTCAAAATCGGCCATCAGCAGTACTCTCAAGGCCTATGAATCTATGAAGTTCAAAAGTTAGTCATACCTGTTGGGTTTACTGCCCATTCAGTTCAAAGTGCTGCAACCAATGTGGCATTTGCCAGACACACTACAGTTGAAGAGGTGTGTAAGGCAGCCACATGGTCAACAATATCTACCTTTGTACGACACTACAGAATGAACATCTATGACTCAGCTGATGCAGCGTTTGGAAGAAGAGTGTCACAGCATATTCTTGAGCCAGAAAACAATGACCCACCCGTAAAATGAGGACACTGCTTCAGGAGGTCCCACCAAGATGTCCTCCGCCTCAGAGGGAGAACGGATCATTGGATACTTACCATGAAGGGTCCTTCTCGTCTGAGGAAAGGAGAACATCCTGTCCCTTCTGAAGTCATTGTCATTTTCCATTCTTCACTCTTCTGTACAGCGGGACCACTTCTGGTCCTGTTGTTACTCAATTTACTGTTATCGGTTTCTCCTTGTTATGTTTTCCCTGTGTTTATTTTATGGTTGAGGAGGTTTATTAACTGCTTTCAGAGTTACCAGAACTGAGGGAATGGGTGACTCCCACCAAGGAGACGGGAAGTAGAAAAGATTTTGTTCCTTTCTCCCTGAAAGGAGGGTGGGTATTACCCACCAAGATGTCATTTTTCCTCAGAGGAGAAGGACCCTTCACGGTAACTATCCAGCAGTGTTCCCTCTAAGCTGAGTTAGTGTGAGCTAGCTCACAGTTTTTTAGCTTCTGGCTCACCGATTTTTGTCTTAGCTCAGGAAGGAGGGCTTCAGAGCAAACTAATTCATGCAGCAGCCAACTCGCTCGCTCACAACTTTAATGCCAGGAGCTCACCAAGTAGAATTTTTGCTCACAGGACTCCACAGCTTAGAGGGAACCTTGCTATCCAGTGGTCTGTTTTGTACTATCACTAAACATTCATTTCCTTCAATATTTAAGATCAGACCAGTGGTCCATCTAGTCCAGCATCCTGTTTCATATAGTGACCAGCAAGTTCCTCTCGACTGCCAACAACGGGGCATAGAGGCCCTTCCCCTGATGTTCCCCTGATTCAGAGACTTAGTGCCTCTTACAATGTTCTCCTCTCGTTTTAGTGTAACAACATCCCTGTGATTAATCTGGGATTATGTGACTGGCCCAAGGTCACCCTTCCAAGCTTCCATGACAGAATGGGGATTCAAACATAGGTCTCCCAGATTCTGGTTGAGCAGTCTAACCACTACACCATCCTGGCTCTTTCATGGTTTTTTTTGGCATGCCTTCTGACTCCTTCCTTAGACAGTGCATTCTGTGAAGGAGCTTCGTTTAATATCTGTGACTTTACTTCATTATTAATTTATACCCATTTAAACCTCTGTATCTGTGGTGTTAAACATTAATACCTAATGGAGCCTAGCATTCTAGAACAAAAGCAGAAAGTTGATTATTAAGGACCTGATCTGGTACAAATTTACCTACTTTAGTGGGAACCAATATGGCCATGGGGGAATTTCAGAGTTTTAGATGGTTATGTGAAAGACTAACTGGAGCCAAATGGACTGACAGTTTCCATCCAGCCACAAATCAGTGGAGTTCTTTGGTTTTCAAAGTAGTACCAAAGCCTGCCATTAAGATACTATCAGCCTAGGTTATGTTTAAAGGTTTCTCAGAGCTACATATTTGCAGGGGGATGACGACATAACCTCTGCTAGAGTACAAGGGTTAGAAACATCTATATCCCCAAAAGTTATCTTTCTGGTTTTATTTGATTTTATACTTTTTCGTTGAGACATGCTTTAACTATACAAATTTGATGTGTAGAAAAGATAATCTCAGTCCTCATTATCTGCCTGTTCGGAAGTGAATTTATCTCTCAATTTTAAGCTGAAGTAGTTCTTGAAATGTCCACTACTTCATATCCCATCCTGTTTTTGTTTGTTTCACTGGTACAATAAAGTACCTTAATGAAATTCAACATACTTTGCATGCTTGATTGGTTAGGTTTTTCCATGACAGTCTTTTCGGTGTTTGTGTGTAACTTTTTAATGATTTTTTTAAAATGTCAGTAAAATATGTTGCTGTTCTGCTTTACCAGGTATCTTTCCAGTCTACCATAACATGTTTGCATTAATGAACCAGGCAGACAGATGCTGGTATCCTCCAAACTACACCTTCCAAATAGAGGGATCAGCCAATGACACCATACTGTACCGATTAAGGTAACATTAACACATTATCTTAGACATGTACAGAAAATGTTATTAGTTACTCAAAACTTTAAACTGTTGAAATATAATTCAGTGATCATTTTCCTTTTTCCATGGTTTTAATTATACTTGAATTGTCAGAAAGATTCATACATAATAATTATGCTGTTTTCCCATATCTTTTCTCTCTGTAACCAGCTTTATCACATGTATATTATGCAGAAGATTATGGCACTGAGGCAGGTGCATGCCCCTGAAGAATTTACAGTCTGAGGGTGGTTTTACATGGCCCGTCTTACTTCTCTATTGAGTGAGCTTGTTTTCCATGACACTCTTAAGGATTCATAGACTTGCTGAATGAATAATATCTGTGGAGAAAACACATTAGACAGGTCCAATGTTCCCTCTAAGCTGTGGAGTCCTGTGAGCAAAAATTCTACTTTGTGAGCTACTGGCATTAAAGTGGTGAGCAAGCGATTTGGCTGCTGCATAGATTAGCTTGCTCTGGAGCCATCCTTCCTGAGCTAAGACAAAAATATGTGAGCCAGAGGCTAAAAAAACTGTGAGCTAGCTCACACTAACTCAGCTTAGAGGGAACAGTGGACAGGTTTAGTTCTGCTTTAGTTCTTAATGTTATCCACAAGCCACTTAAGTCCAGGAACTGTAGGTTGTGACTTCATTTGAATGTGTTTCTGAAGAAATGTCTTAGAATAGTAATGTTAGTCTTACAGAAACCTGTGGCATTATGAAAAACAATATGCTTCTGGAAAGCCCATTCGCGAGAAGGCCAGGAGAAAGAAAGAAAGAAAGAAAGAAAGAAAGAAAGAAAGAAAGAAAGAAAGAAAGAAAGAAAGAAATCTCCTCCTCTTCTGAATAACAGTTTTTTCATACTATTGTCATGTTAATGAATGGGTTGCCTTTCTCCAGCCTTGTATGTTCTTTAAGCTCCAGTATTGCAGCTATTCTTGCATATGAGTCTGTAGGGAGCAGAGTCCCATCCAGCCCAGAACTGAGACCAACAGAAGCTTTCCGAAGTCTCAGGAAGAGGTCTTTCCCAGTCTTGCCACCAGCTCCTTTTTATTGGAGATGCCTCGGAGTGAGGCTACAACTTCGTACTTACAGAGGGCCAGCTGTGCTACTGATGTATGGTATGATGAACCCCCTTATTTTGGAGAATGTGGGGATTTGTTCCTTTAAACTTTCACAAGTTGGAGGAGTCTTATTTTCCACTGACACTGTCTGCCTGCCTCTTTCAGCCAGAAACCCACACGGTTTGTCCCTCTGTCACATACCCAGCCACCTATTGATGAGACCTTTTTATAAATATTAATCTCTGTGGCTTTTCATGAGCACCACCCTTTTCCTGGGATGAAGCTTATAGTTGAACTTTGTCAGATACTTAGCTCTGTCAGACACTGAGGCACCCACGACATGGAACAATAAAACCAACGGACAATTTTATTTACAAGGACAGGCAGGCAGGGAATATATATACAAGGGAAAAGCTGGTACTTGTGTATACGTTGTTTCGAATGGTATAGTTCAGCTTTAGGTCAGTTCATTTATAATCATTCACTTCAGATGCCACAGTGCAAGACACGCTCTCTCTAATCTCAACCCCTGTGCTGTTCTAGACTGCCTGTTTCCATTTGGATTTCTCAGGTATTCTCCACCTCCACAGAGAATATCTGCTGCTGTGCCTTGGGTCTCCCCCCCCCCTTTTTTTGGACATCCACTAGCCCAATAAACCCTCCTGGCACACACTAAATCCACTAAACCCAACTGTCTCCCCAGCAGGGTATAGATTCTATGTGAGAGGAATGTGAATCTCTTGTTTAACCACCAGGAGCTTATTTTCCTTTTAAAGACTCCTTAGATTTCACTATGGTATAGAACCACATTTGGCTTTTCTCAGATTCCCTTAATATTGGAATCTGTAGAGAAATCTCATTTACTCCTTGGACTCAGGGAGGTCTAACATGACTTGTCAGTCCCCTGGCAAAGTACCCACCTGACCAAAAAACCCCAAAAAAACAGCAACCGACAGTTTCAACGGCCAAACTCCAACTGTCAAGAGTTTTTTTTTAATCATTAAGACCCCCCCTCCCGAGTTCTGCATCAGAATCACATCACCACTGCTAGTCACGTGACTGCAGGTGTCTTTTCTTGCAGGCTGATCCCAAGCCTGGAGTCCATTTTATATGACTCCTCCCCTCTGGTGTAATTTAGGGGGTTACGATCTGTCCTGTTTGCTGAAATGCATAGCGAGATTAGTTTTCAGCCCCCGAAGTCAACTGAACACTTATTATTCAATAGTAACTGTAATAGACTATAAACTCACAGTTCTTATATATGCCCTGGAATGAAACTAAAATAGAAGAGAAGAAAGGTGTGTCCATAACATCTGAGTATACCATTAAAATAACAGAAGCCATGACTGATGAGTTTGCCTCTTCTCTGTTACATGAAATCATGAGGAAAACTTCCTAAATTGCAATTGGAAGTTTCAACATTTGAGCTTTAAATTGCGAGATAAGTGATTTCTTTTTGTATATGTCAGTGATTGATTTATTGCCAGATTAGACTGTTATTGAGGTTATGAACTGACTGAAAGTGAGAACTGGGATTTCTAACCTTATCAAACCAATCTTTTAGCAACTAATCCAGTAAACATTGCTGCTTTGCGAATCCCAAGTCCAAAATGCATAACAGTTGTAGATAATGCAAGAGCTATCTGAAATACTGGATTAATGTGTTCTGTCACCTGAAACAAAACACCATTGGACAGTGCTGCATCATATGGATGTATATTATGATTTTAGTTGCTCCGCCAGCATGAAGCAGGTTCTTTCATTGAAAAAAAATTAGTTTCTGTGGAGTCCCAAGTCTACCTTTGCTCATGCTTTCAGAGAGTTTGATAATAGCATTGGCAGAAGTGAGGCAACCTTGTTTCTTGTCACTGCAAGAGTAAAGGTCACATACAACATTGTCTTCATTTAGGAGTAGACATGGTATACTGGCCAGCTTTCTTCAGAGAGCTGCTGCTTGCCATCTCCTTCCCCAGTTAAGCCGTATTGTTTGGTTTCTTCTACTTGCCATATGTTATAATGCAAGTCACTTTAAACAGGAACACCTAGTTTGGGAGGAAAACATGAAGCAAATGCACATGCAGTCTTCATGATAGCACAGCTTGCTCCCAAATGTTCAGAAAGTTCGATCTGCTGCAGAACCCATTGCATTTGCTGCTGAAATAAGGGAGATACAGTTTTTCTATATAGTGTCTGAGAGGGACTAGATTCTACAGCTTTCTAGAACATGTTTTTTCTCCATTTATTAGCACAATTCTGTGCTTCATTTTAGCTAGCAAGTTAATGCTTCATGTATTTTATAATTATTTAATAATATAGGACATTGTCCATTTGTTTGACCTGTCAAATGCCAGTGTTTTTCATCTCATTTCAGCTTGAAAATTAATCGGTCTGTGTAAGGCAGGTGACAGATCGGCTTCCTTGAACTTCGAATTTAACCTATGGCCTGGGATAGGATTTTTTTGTTGTGTGCACTGGTCCTAAGAGACATCTAAGAATTCTCAGATTTTGTTGTAGTTAGCCTAGCCTGTGCAAGTCATTTTCTAAAGTGTAAACACATTAATATTATGAACTTGGTGGCACTGCCATGACAGTTTCACTCCTCTGAGCAAGGTCTTCTGCAGGTGCCAGCCTGCAAAGGGCAAAGCCAACAGCTGCCTTCTCTGTTGAGGCTCCCACCTTGCAGAATGGCCTGCCTGAGGAGGTCAGGAAGGCTCCCACTCTCCTGGCTTTCCGCACACTATGAAGGACTTTTCTGTGCAGGCGATAGAGTTTCACTGCACAAAATGATTCACAAAGTTACTTGGATAAATAACTAAGAGCTGTGTTCCATACTGCTGTGCTTAGCTTGCTGAAACGAGGGATCTTACTGCGTAATTTTTGCTTCATTTAATATGAAATGTTAATACTTATGGTTTGCTTCAGTTCTGTTTTTGTATTTCTGATTGGTTCTACAACCCTATCGCCATTGTGTTGTTTATTGAATGTCCTATCCTTTTGATTATCCTTTTGACTCACCCTGTGTAATCTGCCTTGAGTCCAAGTAAGAAAGGCGAACTATAAATAACATAAATAAAATAAATATAGAACTGTATAGAAGTACTGGAAGCTTTGATATCATATACAGGCAATCTTAATTTCACTGACATGTTTCTAGGGATTGTCTGTTTTAAACAAACCAGGTTGATACAGGACACAAAATATGTTCCCTAACAGGTATTATTTCCCTCACTGGTATTCTAACGGCAGTACACGAGCATACCGGTATGGTGTTTCTCGGGGTGCAGAGAGTCCTGTTCTTGATGATGTTGTCATGTCTTATTTGTTTGCCCAGGTAAGATTTTGGTAATTTAATACTTGGGTCTGTTTGTGCTTGTGCCCTTCTGTCCTTTTCCATCATGTTTACTGCCATCTTCATTCAAATATGGGTAATTTCACAGGAAAAATAGGAAACAATTCCATGAAATTAAATAACTGTATTGCTTTATTTCCTATGGAGAAAGATGGGAAAAAATGATGAATTCAACTGCAGCTTAAACTGCATTTGTTCTGTGTCCTTATGTGAAAGTCTTCAATTCGCATTGAACTGTACTATGACAGAACAGAAATGGGAAACTGAAATCTCTCTTCATTTATTGTACTCTGTCCTAAACATATCTAGCAGGAGTTTTCCAGTTAGCAACTCTCTAAAAGTAGTGCTGAGTAAATATTACCTTGTAGCGAGGAAAATGCTTATTATTTTTTATTCATTTCTGTGCCCAGGCATACGTTATGTGTTTCTCTGTAGGATTCCTGTCATTGAAGGCCAGAAAACCCCATTGTCGTGGATAGAAGACAAGCTCTGTCCTCATGACAACAATGTTCCCTAGTGCAGCAGTTTACTTTCCCCAATAGTAGTGAATGGCGACTATTCAGTTGTATGGGAGAAAGTAATGGGCTGTATTTGGGAATAGCATTAGGAGCTGGATAAACCTGTTACCTTTTTTCATCTGATGCCAGACATTAAGATGGAAATTAGCTCTGCCTCGTAGTCCTGCTCTGACTTTTGCTTGTTGGACATGCTAGAATGGGGTGGAATGTTAGAAACTTTCTTTCAAATAGAGAGAAAAAGAATTTTGGTCTGGTAATATATTCCATTACTTATTAGGAAGTGCTCAGAGGTGGTGAACAACACCAGAGCGTGAGAATGTGTGGCATAACAGTGAAGTATAATGAAAAACCTGTCTGTGGTCTAAAACACAGGAAGGTAACTTTTGTGGCCAGAGTGCTGAAAAAAGCAGTGCCTACCTGTGAATATGTTGGTGTGGTGACGGACAAAGGGGATGAGGGAGGAGACTAGAGACGTCAGTGGACCATTACATCCACTGAGGAAAAATGGCTAGGCTGCAGCCTGCAGCTCATTGTATGGAGCTGCCTCACTGTCTTTTCCTTTTTGTTTATGAGGGCCTGCTATAACAAATGGTTGGGAACAGTGACCATAATGCTATTAAGTTTAGCATTTATGTAAATAGGGAGTTGCCCAATAAGATCAGCATAACCACATTTAACTTTAGAAGGGGTAACTTCTCTCAAATGAGAGGAATTGTGAAGAAGAAACTGAAAGGAAAGGTAAGGAGGGTCAGATCCCTTTGGGAAGCTTGGAGACTATTTAAAAATACAATCCTGGAAGCTCAGATAAAATGTATACTGCAGGCTAGGAAAGGTATGGATAGGTATAAAAAAGGCCTGCATGGTTAACAAACAAAGTAATGGAAGCAGTAAAAGGTAAGAAGGATTCTTTTAAGTGGTGGAAGGCTAGTCCAAGTGAGGTAAATAAAAGGGAGCACAGGCTTTGGCAAATGAAATGCAAGTCGGTGATCAGACTAGCAAAAAGGGACTATGAGGAACATATTGCAAAGAACATAAAGTCCCACAATAAAATTTTCTTTGAATACATTAGAAGCAGAAAACCAATCAGGGAGGCAGTGGGGCCCTTGGATGACCAAGGGGTAAAAGGATTACTGAAGGATGATAGGGAAATGGCTGAGAAGCTGAATGCATTTTTTGCCTCTGTCTTCACTGTGGAAGACTAGGGAGGTGCTTGCTCACTCCAGAACCGCAGATATCAGAAGGGGTGTCGAAAGACTTGAGACGATGAAAGAGGAGGTCCTACAACAGATGGACAAATTAAAAACTGACAAATCACTAGGCCCTGATTGTTACCCAAAATGGTTGTTTAATAATTAGTGGGGGATATTAGCTTAGTAAGAGGTGGGTAACTCAGAATCTCTACCTTGGTATACCAGGATCTTTCTCTTAGAGAACTCTCAAAATAAACCAGTCAGGTGTTCTACTGGAAGTTGCTTTATTGAAAAATAATAAAAGAGCAAAAACACATGTGGAGCATACAAGTCAGCTAAGACAAAAAACGGGTGTGTGGGGAAAAGATAGGGAGTTTAAGGATGATATTTACCAGTCTTGAAGACTCAGGTCCGCTGAGAGAGAAATTACCAGTGCTTCATTAAGAGGGAATATCCCACACGCAAGTGAGGGTGTGATGTAGATGCCAAGAACACACTCACACAATGGAGATTAATACTTGTATTTATATGGAAAATGTACCCGGAGGCATTATGACAGGTTTGCCACAAAGACAATAGCTTGGTGTGTCTACCAGAATTTTCCCAAAGATGGGCAGAGCCAAATGGCTTTCCCAGAGGGAGATCAAAGGATTTAGTGGAGCTTGATGACTCTCCTGGGCATAGGAGGATGGGTGTTTGATGGTCCCTTGAAGTACATGATGGGAGAAACTTCTAGGTGTTATAGATGTGCTGATAAGTGTAAAGGTGCCAGGAGGAAGAAGTAGGATAGGGGATGAAAGAGGTTAATTTGAGGTGAAGCGCTGTTTTCCTGAGAAACCTATTGTTATACATTACTCTAGGGTGGGAGAGGGTTGTTTGCAAGTCAGCCTCTTGATTCACTTCCAAATATTTTCCCTTGCTAGTATTCCTGGCATCCTCTTTGGGGTCATTTCTGGGCCAGGCAATGTGTTATGATATTTGGAGTGATGTTACATGAAAGGTGTTGGGGCTTTTTTCCCTCTCTGGATGCCAACTAGCCATCTGCTGAAGGGGTCTGATTGCTAACAAGGAGGCATACATCCAAGAGTTCTGAAAGAATTCAAATATGAACTTGGGGATCTCTTGACAAAAATATGCAATCTATCACTAAAATCTGCCTCCATTTCTGAGGACTGAGGGTAAGGTGGAGGAATCTGTTATTAAAGACAGACTGAGTAGGCATATTGATGAACAGAAGCTATTGAGGAAGAATCAGCATGGATTCTGTCTCACTAACCTTTTATAGTTCTTTGAGGTGGTGAACAATCATGTGGACAAGGGTGACCCAGTAGATGTTGTTTACCTAGACTTCCAGAAAGCTTTTGATAGAGTTCCTCATCAAAGGTTCCTAAGTAAACTCGGCAGTCATGGGATAAGAGAGCAAGTTGTCTGTTGGATTAAAAACTGGCTAATTAACAGAAAACAGAGAGTGAGTATAAATAGGCAGTTTTCACAGTGGAAGGTGGTAAGCAGTGGGGTAGCGCATGGCTCAATATTAGGTCTGGTGCTTTTTAACTTGTTCATTAATAATTTGAAGTTGGGAGTAAGCAGAGGAGTGGCTAAGTTTGTGGATGACACTAAGTTGTTCAGGGTGGTGAGAACCAGGGAGGACTGTGAGGCGCTCCAAAGAGATCTTTCAAGGCTGGATGAGTGGGCATCAGCATGGCAAATGAGGTTCAATGTGGGCAAGTGCAAAGTAATGCACATTAGAGCAAAACATCTTAACCATAAATATACGTGGATGGGGTTTGAACTGGCAGTAACTGATCAGGAGAGAGATCTTGGAGTCCTGGTATGTAACTGTCATGAGTACTGCCAAGGACGAGCTCCCAATTCTGGCAGAATCTACACTTAGCCCCAATGAAGCCACAGAGGCTGCTCCGGCAACAGCTGAGGCGGAACAACGCATGTCAAACAGCCCCCCTGATTGGTCCCCACCGGTGGCCCGTTTGCGAGCCAGGACACACACGCTGGCCAGTAATTGACAACAGCCCGGAGGGATATTTAGTTCCTCCCTCTCAGTCAATCCCTTGTGCTAGCAACTAGTCAGCTTGACGACACTCTGCACCCACCTTGCCCGTGTTCCTGATTCCTGTTTCCCGCTTTGAACTCTCAACTCCGTCTCTGACGACAACGCTCTTGATTGGTGCTCTGGAATCTGGTGTTTTGGCTCCTGACCCCCTGGACTCTGGCTTAACGACTACGCTTACAGTTTGTGGTTTGGACTTGGTGTTTTGGTTTCCTTCTCTCTTTTTGACCTTGGACTGGACCTGGACAATCCCTCTCACGCACTGCCTGCACTCCAGCCCGTGACAGTAACTCACTAAAGATGTCAACTCATTGTGTGACTGCAATAAAAAAGGCAAATGCAATGCTGGGGATTATTAGAAGGGGATTGAAAACAAATCAGCCTGCACCACAATGCCCCTGTATAAATCTATGGTGCAGCCTCATTTGGAATACTGTGTACAATTCTAGTCACCACACCTCAGAAAGGATATTATAGTACTGTAAAAGGTGCAGAAAAGGGCAGCTAAAATGATTAAGGGGATGGAACACCTTCCCTATGAAGAAAGGTTAAAGAGGTTAGGGCTTTTTATCTTGGAGAAACGACAATTGAAGGGTAACATGATAGAAGTTTACAAAATTATGCATGGGATAGAGAAGGTAGAGAGAGAAGTACTTTTCTCCCTTTCTCACAGTACAAGAACATGTGGGCAGTCAATGAAATTAATAAGCAGTATGCTTAGAACAGAGAAAAGGAAGGTGTGGGCTAATCTTTACTTAAAGATACAGAATTACTAAATGTGCAAGCCCAGGTGTCATGGTTACTATCAGATACAAATGATCGTGTCACTCTCTCAGTGGCAAGATTCATACGTGCAATAATCAAATATAAGAGAAATAATACTAACATCTTTTTAAAACAAAATTGGTTGTAATTTCTGCTTAAGGTGATAGCCATATGAGCAGTACTAGAGAGAGAGAAAGAGAGAGAGATGGAAGTACTTCTTCACCCAAGAATAATGTACACGTGGAATTCACTGCCTCAGGAAGTGGTGGGGGCTACAAGTACAGACAGCTTCAAGAGGGGATTGAATAAACATATGGATCAGAGATCCATGAGTTACTATTAGTCACAATGTATAGATGGAACATTATGTCTGAGGCAGTGATGCTCTGCTTGGGGGTCAACAGTGGGAGGGCTTCTGGATTCTGGCCCTGCTGGTGAACTTCCTGATGGCACGTGGGATTTGGCCACTGTGTGACACAGATTGTTGGACTGGATGGTTCACTGGCCTGATCCAACATGGCTTCTCTTATGTTCTTAAAAAAGATTAAGGCACGATAAGAGTAGATGATTGATAACAGTTAAAATGGTAGTGCCCTAGCAATCTGATTCTTGGAGTTTCAAAAATAATTTTGGAACTTGTATTGTGACCATTTCTGAAAAATTGTTTTAACCTGCAATACATTAAATGGAAAAGGCATCATGCCGATGTTAATCCTGAAAAGTCTGCTTTCTTTTTGCATTCAGTGGCGAGAAGACTTTGTCCATGGATGGGTAAAGATGTCTGTTACTCATGAAACTCAAGAAGAGTGTCTTGGCATGGCCGTTCTTGATATGATGAGAATGGCCAAAGAGAAGGACCAAACTCCCTTGGCTATCTACAATTCTATCAGGTAATTAATTTGTAGCATCATACTTATTCACATACTTCTTTTAAAGTCAAAAATTATCTTGTAGGATAGTGTTCTTGGAGTGTTAATTTCTTCATGTGACCTATCCAGAACATCCTAACAGATACATAGCAGAAGTGTGGGATGTCAAGTCAGTGAAACCTCTGATAGAGGTGAGTGAGGACCATGGCATATAGGGAAGGTCACCAAGTTGTTCAAAATACTGGTTTGAACCCTTTGTTACCAACACTTGTCTGTGGGGGGAAAAGTAAAAACATAAGTAGCTCTCCTTTCATGAGAGTTGAAAACTGTCCATTGCATAAATGATATGTTTATTTTTCTTTACTGTACTTTTTCTGTTCTGGGCAGCCTATATGGACTCTGGCATTCTATCTTAACAGCCACCCTGTAAAATAGCTTAGGCTGAGAGAGATGGTGACTGGCCCAATGCCATTCAGTAAGTTTCATGGCTTAACAGAGATTCCTAAACTCTGGATGTCACGATCTGAGTATCCACTGCAGTTGTAAGCACTAAGTGTATCCCATACACCAAATTAGACTCCTCAGGTGCTTTTCTGTAGCCTGCTGTTGTGATGAGCCTGGATTTTCTTTTCTCTTATTTAAAACCATTCTTTATCTCCAATTGTTGCAGAAATAAGGTTTGAGAGTATGATGCAAACAGTAAATAGAATAACTTGGAATTCAGCACTTCTAGCTTCAGTCTGATTTGCTTTTAGTTCAAATTATTTTAAGATTTAGGATTTATTTGTTAATTAGATGCCTTGAGGTTTCTGTGGATAAATTGCAACTCACCTGATGGATTTTGTATTCACAGCTACAAAATGTTTTTGCCCAAATGTATCAGAGAAAAAATCCAAGACTATCACATTCTAACACGAAAAAGAATAAGGTACAGGTTTCGCAAGTTTATTCAGCAGTTCAGCCAGTGCAAGGCAACTGCCAGAAATTTGAAACTGAAGTATCTTATAAATCTGGAAACCCTCCAGTCTGCCTTCTACTCAGAAGTGTTTGAAGTAAAAGAGCCTGGGAGAGAACTTTCAGAAGAAGAGAGTTTTGCAACCATTGTAGTATCTGGAAATGGAGGAATTCAGTTGTCCAGAGGGAAACATAAAGACAGTGAAACACTGGCAGAACAGGTAATTTCTTTTAACTCGCATTTATTACTTTCAAAGTTTTTGAAAACCACTGGAAGCAAAGTGGTCTTGCCATTGGAACACTTTGTGGCTAATTAGATATTCATATTGAATAGTGAATTGCAAAATAGGCCTGACAAAGTATCATTTTTGCAGAAGATAAAACACCACCATGGGAGTCTGGTTGAAAGTTCCATAGTCCTCCCATAGCTAGAGGAAGTTCTGCACACCCACTTCTCTTTTGTACCCTGGGCAGTTCATGTTGCCAATTGTTTCTGTAGAGCACCATTTCCATGCTGAAGCATAATAAGCACACTGAAGCTGCTAGATGGTACCAAAGAACAGCAGACCTGTTTGTATTTGTGCACATTTAACTCACATTGATTTTCGCTAACCTTATTTGCACATAGCACCAAGCAGAATTGCTGCCAAGGCTTTAAAGATTGATTACTCACCGAAATAACTGGCTTGGTATCAGATGTGGTTGAGAATGCAAAAAATGCCAATCTGTGTTCTGTGGTGGCATTGTAAGAGAATATAACTTGATCAAGAAAACCATGGTGATGCAGAGTTAACTCAATGGATAAAACATCTTATCTGGAACTACTGCACTCTTCTTGAAACAACCTGGTAAATTAAGCAAAGGAGGGTTGTTGTCATTCATGCAGAAATGTTTAAAATGAATCTGTAAGTTATACGAACTGTGCTTAAGTTAATGATGCTTCTTATCTAAAGAGAGAAGAGCAAGTGTGACTAATGATGTCTGTGTACACTGATGAAGACCTAATTGATTTCGGGCCCTAATTCTGCTGCTTCACTATATAAAATATCTGCTATCTGTCAGGAGTAACCTTTCAATAGTTCTGCCACTGCTGATCCTACCAGAGGGAGAGACAGTGGCCAGGCAATCCTTCACTTTTTGTTGAATGTCACTTTTCATTTATATTAGATTCTGATTGCTGTGACCTCTTTGGGGAGAATTTTTTGAGGGGGTGAAAAGTAGAATAAAAAATAAATGGTTTATCCTGGAAGCAGCTTTAATCAAATAGAAAGGCATTCTTTGATACAGCCCCCATATTTGGAAATTCTTTCTTGGAGCTCTGTCTCAAAGCACAGATATAAGATTTGTAGAATAAGGGATTTAGAGTTATGCCCTTCTAAGCCCCTTGACTTCAGTGGACTTTTGAAGGGTGTAACTCTGCTTAGGACTGCACTGTTGTCATCGTGGAAGACGGGGGATATTTCAGTGGAGTTTTGTTTTAGTCTCTTAATATTTTGATATTGATGAGTTTATTAGTTGGTTGATATTATTACTTTGATATTCTTGTTTTCTCTGAGCTATTTGGGGATTTTATAAAGAAGAATAGTTAGCTGCTTAAATTGAAATGTTACCCTCTTCTTGAGCAGTTCACTGATTGTATGTGTTTAAATTTTTCCTGCCTAAGAATTTCAGCATTCATATATGCCTTTTACTATGTTTACAATGAGGATCATCTGTCAGTATGCAGAAGGATGCTAGATAGCTGATGTATTCTGTGGGAAAGCTCTCATGGAGAGTACTTGGCAAAGGCTCATAAATAAACAGGGGTCTTGTGTGTGTGACACCTTAAAAGATTTTAAAAAGAAATTATTGCAGCATAAGTTGCCATGTGGTGGATCCTTGCTAGGCAGACTATGTAATTTTCCTGGTTTTGCTAAGGGGGTTAACACATGTAAAGGCTGAAGAATACCAGGTCCTTGTAAGTCCTTGGGAGATGGTGTTCTTGATGATTTCTGATTCAGTAGAGTCATGCTGGAGTCTCCTTTTTTTAAAGTTCTTTTGTCATAAAATAGTGATTTTGAGCATTCTGGGAAATGTTCTCAGGTTTCTGAGTATTGCCTTTTTTGTTAAATGATGTCCATCTTTTACTTTGCTAAGTGACTGAACTGTTTGTCCTGTTGTAAAGAGGAAAAGGGCATTGTTGACACATGATGGCACATATATTAATAAATGTATTTATTATTATTTATTTATTAATTAAATTTGTATCCTGCCCTTCCAACATGGGCTCAGGGCGGCGAACATAGAGGCGAATGCCATACATAAAACAATAAACAATCATTACCTATAAAACAGTTAAAAGTCGGTGCTCAACAGAGTCCCTTATGGTCTATCTGACGGTTAGGTCCTGTAACTGTTGATTCAGTGGATATAGGGATAGAGTTGGCATCTGTGTTTGTTGAAGGGTTTGGTCCCTGGGTTTGCCTCTGTGTTATGTATAAGTTGTTTTCTAATAAATGAACACCCTTTTGCAGAACCTACAGACCTACTGTGATTTCCCTGATATCATTGATGTCAGTATTAAACAAGCAAGCCAGGAAGGTTCCAGTGAGAGCAGAATTGTAACAATTCACAAGCAGGACTCCAAGAATCTGGTACAGTGGCTTATTCTTTCAGCTAGCTGTGTCTGTAGATATTTACACCATTTTATACACCACTGTGGGAAACAGTGAGCCACTTATATGGTACTTGTGCATTATGATGTGATTGGAATTGGGCTTACACACCATATCCATCTTGCTCATATCTCCTATGCAGAAGATGAGTGTTCTTAGAGATCCACTTTGTATTGAATGCAGTATTTCCCCATGAAATCAAAATATACCCAGAAACCCATTTCCAATTTCAGCACATGTAGAGTTTCTGGAGGAATAGCCCTGTCTGAACAGGCCTGAAGATGTAAAAACATTAAAATTCCAGAAATTCCTGGCTGT